ACTAAATTCAACTCCAAATATCTTTCAATATTTTTACCTTATGATCTATAAGATTTAATATCTTGATATAAGGTGATGGGTCAATTTTCTCTGTTTTACCACCGATATCATCTTTTTTAAATGGACAATATTCAAGCTGAATTGGAAATAATCTACCTGGTACCTGACAATAAATTAACAAGGGATAAATTCTTCTGACACATCAGTCTAGTCAAACATGATGCCAAACAGTCATATAAAATTCCAATATTAGACATTATAATTGAGAGCAATGTCCAATACATCTTTTAATTCATTCAGCTCTATTTCAGGCTCTATATTCACTTTTGGAGGGAACCAACTGTAAATCGTATTTCATTGAAATGCAAATAACAATTTGGGTTAAACATTAATTTTACAAGGTCTGTTTGACAGGGATGTTGATTTGGTAATATTTACCAGCCAAGTTATAATTTATAGGGGTTGTGATACATTTGGTTTACTGGCAGATAATAATGATCAAAATATCAAATATCATAGCCTACCTTAATAACAGGAGCATTATCAAAATATGTACTAAATAATGATATATTTATAGTAGCTGACATTAACACTAACTTTAAATCATCACGTTGTTTTAATAAACATTTTAATACACCCAGTAAAAAATCAGTATAAATATGACGCTCATGCACCTACAAAAGAAATATAAAAAGAATACATAAAACTGAGTAAAGAAATAAACTAAACTTTTTCTTATTCAATAGTTCTGATTAGCTAAGCTGAACAATTCCAGTTTCTGAGACCGAGATACTATTGCCCCCCCAAAAATGGCGAATCTGTCCCTTCGATATTTATTACATCTTACCTCATCAATAACAATAACATCATATTGTGATAGATACATATCACTAGACATCTGACGTAACAATAGACCTAGATAATATCAAATATATATATATCATATTAGGATAGATACATATCACTAGACATCTGACGTAACAATAGACCTAGATAATATCAAATATATATATATATCATATTAGGATAGATACAATTCACTAGACATCTGACTACCAATAGATTTAGTATTATCAAATATAGATTATGATAGATACATATCACTAGACATCTGACTACCAATAGACCAAGTATTATCAAATATATATTATGATAGACACATATCACTAGACATCTGACTACCAATAGACCTAGTATTATCCTAGCAAATTCATACATGTCAGAAACATGAAGGAAAGAACAGGGACAGCAAATTTGCAAAAATAAATTCCTTTGTAATACATACCTTCAGTTAAGAATAAAATTTTGGTTGCTTGCGTTTTACTTTTATCAAACCTGACCTAAGTAAAAGAAATCTTATTGATAATATAGTCAATTTTCTTTAAGTTTAAGTTCAAAAACATTCATTTCTAGCTCTGATTTGTTGTGAGTGTTGATATTGAAGAAGGACATACTCAGACTTCTAGAACACCTCATACCATTTTGCAATTGGGTCTGTTTACATCCCAAATTATTTCCTTAGAAATATTACCTGATAAGCAATCTCTGTACCGAATTCATTCAACGATTCATATCCAACTCTTTTAGATAGAGAAATACAAGCTATACGTCTAGGTTGTGTACAGGCTATATGATTGAATCCTGCTTCTAATAGATATTGAGGAAGCTACAACAAAATTCAAATCTAAATTCAATTATGAATTACGAAATATAATATTTGTCATTTGCCAAACTTACATTTCTATCAAAATCAGGGTCTTGAAAACTTCAATTTTTACAGCAAATATTTTGTCAATGAACATTCTAAAGGATTATTTAGATACGTGGTAGTAGTGGCTGTAATACATGTCAATCAATTGAAAAATATGCGCTTAGATCATCAAAGATACATTCTTCTCCTACCAACACCCAATCCCACACCCCAGGTCAGGAACCATGGCTTTACAATGTTCAATTCTTACCTGTGTTGATTTACCACAGCCTGTATCACCAGCTACTATAACTATCTGATGTCTCTTGATCATTTCAACTATCATAGTTTTAAAACTAAATATTGGTAGATTCTCTCTATCTTCTTTTATTTTCTTGACTTTATTTATCTGAATATAAAAAGATATCAAACTAAAGTGTCCCAATATTGTAACCTAGGAATTTGACCTAATGCCAAGCTAGCTTATGTCTTGAAACCTCCTAGAACTAAATTTTTGATCAATGTTACACTCAGGACTGATATTTGTGCACCACTTTTAAGTGCATAGTCAGATATATCTTTACTTTCACTTACATTAACTGTCCAAAATGTTCAGAAAAATAATAGCTAAAGTTTCATTACTGTCTTACATTGAGCTCATTCTTCGCTAGAGAATTTGATTACCTTTTGTTTCAGTGTAAAATCTATATAAAGAAGTAGAATAGTTTTAAATTGTTCAACTCTTTCAACATTTAACTCTCTTTCTACCTCATAATCTGGAAAAATTCAATATGTTAGAAATTCAAAACTGCTCATGTTATCAATAAGTATAGTAATATCATCAAGATCAAAATCTGAGCATACCCTGGATTGAATTGTGGTACCATGTTGGGCACTGGGACATTGTAAAATATCCAATAATGTCTTGTTGGACTCATTAAATGTTCAACTTTGTAAGGATACCAAAAGTTTGACAAGTTTGGATCGAAATGAGCTCCCATAAACAGTGGCATTAGATGTCAGGCCCTTAGTGTATATCTGGTCTGGGGAACTGTTAGGGTCAGATTGGTTTGGCTATGTTCTATTCTGTGTAATGTATTCATGGATAGAGCTGGATAAATTTAGGTATTTACCAGCAAGTCTTCCTTTCTGACTAAAACCCTTCATAGCTTTCGTAACAATATCTATATGATGTTTGTATGTTTTATCATCAGTTTCTATAGGAGTATGGGTGACTTGTTTGTTTTCCATTTCTGTTGACTGACCTGAAATCAGAACAATCAAATCAACTCTTTCCACAAAGTTATTAAAAGGTTGATATTTTCTTGGAAGATGTTTCCCAACAATATTGGTAAGTGCAAAGTGCATCTGAAGTAGTCCAATACCTAAAAATACATGCATTAGAAAACAAATTTTCCATTTTCATACATCATACCTGTTTTTTCTTTTTTCTTTCTCTGAAATTCTTGATATTTCTTGAGAAATGCCCAAAAGTCATCATACTCAGTAGAATTTCTATACAATTGAAAATCACAAAATAATCACTTGAAACATGGTCATAATAAAATTCTAAATGAAGAAATTAAAAAGGCATCATCAAGGTAACTATACAAAATTGCATTTAAAATAGTTGAAACTTATCACACCCATGTCCAAAAGATTATTGATGAACCACTGGGATTTCCACATATCAGCTTTGATTAAGAAAAGTGTTGGATTTTGAGATACAAAGCTGTTTATCTACCTTTGAATGAAATATTGATCTCTAAAAAATATTCTGTTAAAAGATACTTTGTATCTGGTGAAATCAAACTTCCACACTTCTTTATCATCTTTATGTGGTGACTCAGAGTGACGCCTCCTTCTCTTAGAAGACTGCTTTATGTGGTCAGTTTCTTTACTATATTGTCTATCTCCACTACCTTTCTCATCACCAGAATCGGAGCTGTGCTGCCTTTTCTTCTCATGTTTATATTGTTTTTCATATCTTTCTTTGTGTGACCTGACCTCTGGCCTGCTTCTACTTGACCCTGAAAATGATTCTCCATCATGGTGCCTCCTATCACTGTGCTTGTAATCTCTCTGATAGTCTACGTATTTAGATCGCCTATGCCCTTCATCATGTTTTGGCATACTTGTTACAAGTTACCTTAATTTTTCCAGCTGTAATCAATCAAAAAAAAAAAAACTTATTATTAAAATAATTATCAAATATTTGTTAGGCTAAAGACTCAAATTCAAAGGATGATTGTCAAAGTCAAAGCATGGAGAGGTTTGTCAACTCACTCATTGCATAGAGACAAAAGTAGAGTGCAAAGTGTTGAAATTTTCAGCACAAGTTGCACAAAAAGTCAAAAGTTGCAGATGGTTCATAAGACATTACAATCAGTACATTGTGTAGTCATAGAAGAGGTTTATCAAATCATTCAGATTTCAGAGTTAATTCTTCAATGCAATGACATTTAAAGTACCAAATTCTATCAGCCTAACTGATAATTCTACTTACGGTTTGTGTACATTCATGGGCGCAGCCATCTTACCGGAAGTTAAAGATAACTTTTCAGTACCGAATGTCCCTGTAGAAATTTACAAGGCCATTAAGTTTAAATACGTTTAGAAATTTAAAAGCATTATTCTAATATAATGTTTAGATAATATAGTAATTCCATAAGCATTTTTGAATGATGAACATAACTCTATGGACTTCACATAGAATTCCTAAAAAATTAACTTTGTTAAGATCTGGATAATGTGGACTAATAATCCGACGTTGATATCACGTGAAAATTGGCGGGAAACGTATTGGAGCCTATGAGATTATTACATTGTTCGACATAAATTCCATTATGTAATAATTTATTACACATTTGATGTTTGATGTTGTTTTGATAGCAATTAATAACTTCAAGACAAAGGAATTTGATATTCAAGATACTATATTTGTGTCCACAAAGTTAAAAGGTTTAGGCTAAATATGCCTTATCTGGGCCTAGTTAGTTGCCTATTATCTAGTGTCTAGTAGATTGTGTCAATGTAGTGTGTAATAATAACCTCTTTGACTTTTAGTTTTATCTAAGCTAAGTTTAGTCAAATGCTGACATAACATAGGCTTAAGTCCATAGCCTATAAAGTAATAATATTACTTCCTGTCATCATGATTTGTTGGGAATCCTATTCTGTGTCAGCCCCACCCAGTTTTAGTCTTCAATCATGAAATATGCATTTAAATCAACGTATCCAAACGAAATAAATTTATTCATCATTCATTTCAGTTTCAATATATATAATCAATATGAATGGCACTGGTGAAATTCATGAAGAAAAGAAAAGGCCATGCTGTTCTAAATGTAGAAATCATTGTGTATTGAGTCCATTGAAGGGTCACAAGAGAAGATGCCTATATAAGGACTGTCAGTGTCCCAAATGTCAATTGGTGGAGGCCAGAAGAGACATATCTAAACGTCAAATTGCTCTGAGGAGACTACAGATTGAAGAAGAGAATTATGGTTCCTCTCCTGCAATTGAATCTGAGATTAGTTCTGGTGGGTTATGTCAAACTTATCCAGCCTTTTAATTACTTCAAACACAGATTAACTTTAGTTGTCAAGTTATATTTTTTATCAGTTGTGTAGACTTTTTATGAATCCAGAAACCATTTAGTTATAACCGTTTCCTGATGAATATTTTAATCTTTAAAGAAGATATTTTTATTAAAAGAAGTTTTGTATTTAAGTAATTGTAATGTTTTTTAACTTCTAGAGGGATTAAGAGGATCAACTGGCAATGCATCATCAATGATGAATTATAATTATGGAAACAGACCTCAAACTGCCAACTATAGTCATCAACCATATTCCAGAACCTGGTATCAGAATCCTGTACCAGTACCTTTTACACAAAGTCAGTATTGTCATAGATATGAAAATTATACTGGTATACCATCCTCCACCCATTATCCTTATCTCAATAATAATGGTCAATCTCACAGATCTTACCAGTCTGTCATCAGAGAGGCTAATCAGATTATTCCACGATATCAGCCTGATGATGCTAGTAGTACCGGTATTGGAAACTCACAGAATTCGTCGGAAGATGAAGCTACTATTACAATTGATTTAAACAATGGCCCAGAGAGTAAATCATCTGTTCAATTGGCTTTGATCTAATTCTTTATTTAGAGGTTTGCATGTTTAATGGACCGTCCATTTAAAAAATGTAAATTCACTGCCTTTCACACCATATTTACTATACATTACATAATTTGTCAGCTTCCAATTAAATTAAGCAGTGTCTCGGTTCACCACCTAAATTTCCTAGCCTTTATCTACACATCTGTGAATGTAAATAGGAGATGTGAATAAAGTTGAAATCTTGCATGCTTTTAAAGTGTTATATGTTAAATTGTTATTAATGTTAATTTAAGCCTCGTTGAAAAATATTCATATTTGTTAAATAATTGTAAAAATCATGAAAATAAAACGATTTTTGTATATGATCAGTTAGTTCTTGCCAGAAGCAAGCATGGAATACATTAAGATAAATAGAGTTTGTTTAAAGATATGTTTTTGTAAAGCTTAATTTCTATGGTTATTATTATTCCTTAGTTACAAATTTTTTACTTTCTTTAAATGTAATTTAATTTCAATTTGATTTTACCTTTGATCTTAATTAAATGTTAATTAAGTAGTGCCATAAAATTTTTGTTTTGATTATATTTTGTTCAAATATTAAATGTAAATGTTATTATAACACATTATTTTGCTGTTTGAAAATATATATTTTGATTTTCAAATCTATGAAGATATATCCTATTTATTTAATGTTGAGATGTTTTCACAATCATATCATGATAGAAATAAAACTGTTTGCATGTCCTTTTGTCCATATTAAATTCTAAACTTTCTACATAATTGTTACAAACATATCATATACTGGATTTGAAATAATGCTGGCAGTATACTGGATTTGAAATAATGCTGGCATCTGCTTACAAATTTTATTTTACCTTTTGTGTGTAATTACATTTCACTGCATACCTAAATAGAATCCAGTTATATTACACTTATATGGTAAAAGATGACTTTTGAAAAATATATTTGCCAATTTGCATGAAATTAAAGGAAAATGAATTGAGTAATCTCAATTTTTGTGATAACATATTCTACTTCCTTTTCTGTGAGTTATTTCAATCCGAATGTTGCTGTCCCCAAGTTAATTGGTCCATATCAAACCCGTTATTAGACCCAATTTCAACCATACAAGTTGAAGTATCATTCTTTTTTTTCTATAAAATAATTTCCAAGAATTTAATTATGTTTGTTTATTATTTTGTATTATAAATAATTTATCTACAATAGTAAATGCATAATGATAAATTGGCGATATACAAAACACATAAAAAGTCTTAATACACAACCAATAACCAAACCACAGGTTAACAATAGTACAATTACTATACAATTTATACAGAATATAGTAAAAAATAAGCTGGGTTGAAGACTTTGCATATATTAAGGTTTTATACACACTGGGTTATATTATCACAGACAATTATGTTTTAACATGAACATGGCATGGATTGAAACTAGTGTAATGTTTGGTGCTTTAAGCAGAAGAAATGGAAGCAGAGAATACACGAGGTATGGATCCGGATACTTTCCTAGCAGAGTTTGCTTCTACCATTTCCTACTGTATTGAAAATCCTACAGCTTACTGGACACCATGCTTCGTCTATTCCCAGCTTTAGAGTTTTTGTTTGAGCTAGAGGTGGATTGATTAATAAATATCATTTTTATAATGGTAACATAAAACTCATTCAAGTCCCTGCTAAAAATAAAGAATGCCAATTTTCCTTTTTGCTTATTATTATGCATTTATATTATATATTTATAAAGTTCATTAAATTCAATCTATATTAATCTTAAGACGTATTTTGATGAATGCATAGCCATGTATCTAGACTACTTAAAATGGTTAGTCTTTATTGGTTTTCCTGAGTAGAGAATTAATATACAGAAAGGTAGGTATAAAATTATGAAGAACTAAAAACCCATTTTTTTCATTTTAACTAAGTCTAACAGAAGTTGAAAAAAAATTCTTAAAAAGTTTTTTTTGTCATATTTAAATAAAATCTTGAATCAAAAACAAACTACATTCTTATCTTAGATGTATTACTGTAAGCACCAAACAGTCAAGATCTTGTTGGATGAACCATCTTAATAATTCTAGAAATTACTGGATCAGAAAAAGTGGCTTTAAGTTAATACATCTTTATCAAAAACAATTACTGAATACTAGTGAAATGTACTTTGGATTATCTAATTTCTTGACAATTGCCTGAAATGGTATGTTTATGATTCTACTTTAATTTAGTATATGAATTGGCAAAGATTCTAAACAGTTTTGAAACAAGACACTAAAAGACATAAGGAACTTTGTCCTCAACATAACTACAATAATCATAAATAAATAATCCCAAGAATATGATAGGACAATATGACATTATCAACTGGTCAGATTTCTTGAAATGATTTAGCTATGAGTATTGTAAAGTTGGGTTTTATATTTAACAAACAAAAAGCAAACACCGGAATATAGCAGACACAAACACAGTAGAGAAGCTGTTTCATCTCATTGTTGATTATCATCTAGATAAATTAGATAAGGTATTGGTTGATGCATCAGTCGTCTGAGCAGTACTATCATCAGTACTTTGATCTTCATATCCTAGAATTTTGAATGTTGAAGATGTTCGCAAGATCGCTTCAATGGCATCAATACGATGAAATTCTTTTAGTTTTGAGATAAGTTTCCTGATTGTTGCAGGTTCTCGTTTGGACCACTCATCTAGCACTTTGTCTGTGTGGCTGACTTGATTTGGTTCTGCTTCTAATTTTGGCAGAGAGTCAGAAAGTCCAAGCGTTATGGCTAATAAACACCAATCACGACCCATTGGTTCAGATGGATCTAATAAATAACTTAATAACCTGCGAGAATGAAGTGAAAGTTGGGAGATATCAAGATCTATACCTAATGTAATACTGTTAAGTACCTCTTCTGATCCAAAACAAACAATATCAATAAAGTTCTCAGTTACACTACCAGTTAATACAACTGAGTTTCGACCCTCTAATTCCATACGTAAAATTTCCGTTGGAGAGTAACTTCGAATGATTTTACCATGATCACCTAACTGTGAGGGACTTAATGTATAACGCTCAGTACAGAGTCCAGGACATACTTCCTCAATCACTTGTTCCACGATATTAATAAAGTCATCAAGGAAGAAAAATAACGAAGTTTTGGCATCTCTAGGTCCCCGCACTTTAATTTCTAAATATTGTTCATTACGATCCATGTCTAATAATCCTTCTAAATCGCCACAACAATATTTACTCCCATGATGCCATTGATAAAGGTCAATTTCAGGGTCGTCAGTTTCTTGTAACATATTTCTCCGCAAATACACTTGAACTCTGGGAAAAAGATATTTGAGTTGAGAGCCAGATTGAAAACTAGTGTGTATTCTTACACCACCGTAAATAGTGTCACTTTGTAAATTGGAATCCTTTTTCCAGATGTCTTCTGGAGTGTCCAGCAGATTCAAACAAGGAAATTCATATTCGATATCCCCTTCGTTATCACACTGTGTACATAATTCTAATGCTTCCAGAACAGTTAATAAGTCTATTGCTTCAGTTTCTGGAAACATCAAATGAAATTCATCCACAGAATAACATCCAGTCACACGAGATTGCACTATTTTGTCATGAGACATTAGATGACCTATTACATCTGAACATAACCATTTCGGATTAAACACCACTAAATCTTGAACAAATGGACTTTGAAGATAAACAACCTGAAAAAATATTAATATACAAATTATGAAAGAGAAAGAAAACTTTTCCAATGGTCTAAATAACGAGACAGTGAACAAAACAAATTGGTTTATATACAATATCAATATCAAAAGTGATATTGAAAAAACAAAATCTGCAACAAACGAATAAATTTAAATGCTCTAAATGTTTGTCAAAATACTTAATGAATCTTTGATTCAAAAGAAAAAATAATTTGTTCCCTCTGCTTAACAAGTTTTTCATTAAATGGATCTGCCTCTGATCGTGAAGAGATTACACCATGTTGAAATAAAACATGAACTCTCATAGAAAGAATTAATTTGTCTAGTAGGCAGAAAGTGGAGAACACGTGGAAAGGGATCGATTTACAGTGGATACATGTTATACATTAAAAACACTACACATAATTACAGAAAATAGTGCTGTATTATCTAGTTCACACAAAATGGACAAGATGTGTATTATAAACAAAGAATAAGTTATACACATATTGAGTGAATATTTCAACAAAATGTTTGTGCTTTTCAACAACACTTTGGACAACAACAGTACAAGGTTCAAACTAATACGAAATCATTACCACTTCTGGTTTCCTTATAAAATGCAAGACCTAACAAACAAATGAAAATAATAAGTTGGCCTAAATGCTATTGTAGTGATCACTAACTGCGACAGGTCATATGTGATAAAGCATATTTTGCGATTAGTGACATCATCAAAGACATTAGTTTTAGTGGAATTGCAAGAACCACAGATGTCTGATTGAAAATTGCACATGAAAAATTTAGGGAAACATGTTTACATTCCCTTAATGGGATTTCTTTGAACTATCACATTGTTTCCACATTTAAAACATGGTTGAATCACCCTTCATTGTCAAACCTTACTCTTTATTTTGTTCAAAAGGCAAAATGAAAAGATATAATTTATTTTCAATTACCTCTCCAGTCAGTTGAAGCTGTTCAGCCAGTAACTTCATATTTTCTTCTGAAGCTAATGGATTGACTTTTAATCTGGTATATTCTACAAACTGTTGCCATGACAACACTGGATAGGAAGCATTATTCTTTTTCCATAATGGTAACTGAGCAACAACAGCATCCAGAAAACCACTTGACTTTGGTAAGTTCTAAAAAAAAAAAAAGAAAAATTTAGTACTGCTTTTCAGAATTTACAGGAAAGCAAAATTATATATGTATGTTAAATATTTTGGGAGCCCATGTTGGATCTCATCTTCTAATGATTTTTAACACAAAAGTCAAGCAAGATAATTGTGTAATGCTTTATAATGAGTAAGAACAAATAATAATAGAACTGGTACTGTCATCATAACCACTTGAACTTCATGAAAAAAAGTTGACTGTTTGCGTTTATGTTTTGAATCAAACCCTACTGTAAAAACAGTACTAATCGTACTAAATAAAGCAAACATCAAATAAACTTAAGAAAAAGAAACTCACTGAAACAATCTCTGACTTTAATTCACTCAGTTGAGACTTGAGAAGTTTTAAATCAGCAGAACTGGCATTAGTTGTATCAATAACAAATAATTTATTAATAATATCAAGATCGGCTTGAAACATCTGTAATATTTTCTCTAGAATTATTTCCCCTCCTTCAGACTCGTATTCTCCTTTACTGTTCTTAGGACAACCTTTTTTATCAGCATGAGTAGCTACTATTAGAACTTTGGCTGTATTTTGTAGTCTTCCACAGTAACCTATAAAATGAAGGTAATTTGTTAGCAGTTCTAAAGAAAAATATCATTTGTTAACTGAGATTTCCAATGATAGAAGCCCATAACTGATTTCAGAAGCCTAAAGCAAGACTATATTTTACTCATTAAAATGATACATATATTCTGAATTCCAAAAACTCTAAGATACATTTGTACTAGTTGACATGATATACAGATAGATACAGATAAATCTTACAATTAACTGGCGTTCCTTCTTCAGATTGCTAGTTTTGAATTTGGTCTTTGTCATGGTGAAAATTCTAAAAAATTAGTGATATAAAAAAGTGACTAACTCCCATTAAAAGTGCCATTTTGTATCTGGACCTATCTCTGATATCTCAGATTTAAGTTGTCATGTGGACATAGACACAAAATTAAAACACAAAAGAAAATTCTATTTACCAAGAGGAAATTGAGGTGGAACTCTAGCTTTAAGAAAGTTTAACCAGAATATGACTTGTGCTAGTTGTTCATCAAAAGAATCTTGTAAACTAAACATCACTACATGTAAACAGTTGGTATCACCCAGAAAATGATCATATAACATATAATATGGTTCATAACCAGAGAAATCCCACATACTTAAATCACCAATCCCTGTAACAGACAACAATATATTTAACATACTATACATCTTGAATCATTGAATATGTTTCCGACATGGAAATACTTGCATTTTTCCAAAAAAAACAGACAAAAAAATAATTAGATTTTTTCTTAGAAAATGATAAGGGGTTTTCACTTTTTGTGATATAAGTTGACCTGCATTCTACAAGAATAGGTTGAAAATATGAAATGGTACCTACCTGGTACAGTAATCTGTTGTATATCTATACCTTTGGTATAAACAGGATTACCTACAGTATAATTTAATGGTGTTGGTAAACTGAACTGTCGTGACAATTTATTACGTGTTCCTACAATAATAATCAACTAATTAGTCAAACATATTACTAATTCATAGATTTACCCGTCAATTCAATAATCAGCTTATAACTTCTGACTATTGCTCCTATTTAACAAAAACTCCATGATTAATATCATCAATATTGACAATAATAGGCTAGTACGATCTTCAGATTATAACTTGACTCCAATAGCCACCTTTCTTGTTTCACAGAAGTTTGTAAATGCAGCCAATCAGAGGCCTACACAAATTGTCTGTATATACTAAGCTTACAGTCTTTATTGTAAGGGCTCTGGTTGGTTGTATTCCCTAAGATACAATCCAATCAAATCGCTGCGTTATGTGAAAAAAGAAAGTCGGCTATTGGTATAAGGTATAAGCTGAATGTCGTTATACCTTGATATTGTGAAGATGATATCATATAAGCATAACACAATGGTAAGTATACGTACCTTGTTTTTTGTTTGGAGGTGTGGCATGACCACGTCGAAAGAAACTACCAAGAAACCCACATTTCATTGTCTCAACTAAAGCTGATTTACCTACACCAGTTGATCCTAATAACTTTAATTTGACACGACTTAATGGTTGAATAGATTGTACTAATTGATTGATCAGTATCTGACCTTTCTCCTGTAAAAAAACACATCAATATATATTACTACAATTAATCAAAATCATCATCTTCCTCAATAGAATGAGCTATGATTAAGCAACATAACTTTGAAAATAGAAGGCTTATTCTGTTGTTAAAAACATTAATATCTTATTGAATGTATCACAGACTGATTATTGTTATGTTCTGCTTCATGCTTGGCTTAAAATTGTTCCTAGTTCATGGACACAAAGTGCTCTGTTAGTCAGAAAAGAAGATTTTTTGAGGACCAAGGCTCAGAAGAAGAATATATATATCTGATAAACAATTAAAACCTTACCCCTTTGACTCGGTTTAATAAATCAGCTATATTGGTAAAACCTTGAGCTAAAGCCATGATCTCACCAGTAACACCATCCTGAAAATAAAACAAAATAATTTTAACCTTTATGATGCTCAATTGATCAAAGAAGAGCTGAAATAATTTGCTGATCTGTAATGTCATTGTGTATCAAACAAGATTAAAAAAAAACTTTGGAATATTTTAACTGAATGAGAGTAAGATGCTTTCTTCAATCATTTCAGGTAAAAATTTGTATGGAATCCTCAGTACAACAGCTATAGTAGATTCTAAATTTACCTTATTTGGTATGTCTGGATTGGCACCTGCTTGAAGAAGACATCGACATATTTCAATATGGCCGGCTTTACTGGCAAGATGTAGGGGAGTTAACCCATCCTGTTCAAAAAACGAGTTAAAGAACATATACTATGAGTTTATATCTGGATTCAAGAATCTAGAAATGATCTTACATAAATGGAAGCTTATAAAAGAATTAGGAATAAAGAATCCCAAGTTGTCCAATGTGAATACCAAGACAGACAGCAGTAACCATATTAGAAAGTACAAAAGCTATGATGAAAATTTTACAATTTACAATTCACTGAGAATGAACCTAATTCAAATTGTTAGTAATCTCTTGGAAACAGATCCTGGAACTTAGTATATAGGTACTTACACAACTAATAGTATCTACTTTACAACCATAATTACACATAGTTACTACCACAGAAAACAATCCTTCTCTAGAAGCAGCATGTAGAGCACTTTCACCGGTTTCCTACAAAATATAACATCAAAATATTGTTCACAACTTCTATCATCTACTGACCATAGTCCAGTATTTCAATTATGACAAATAAACGATTAATGTAAATGATTATTGAAATCAAACTATTCTAGATTATTGAAATTACATCAAAATGAATATATTAATTTCAAGTATATTTGAGCTTTTTATTCTAGCTTGTTTCAGCTTGCGCTTAAAATTCAATTACAAAATAAAAAAAAATATAGTATAATGAACTTAAAACTAACATAAATAAACATTAATTGAATAACAGGGAAATCCTTTATTTTCAGGAATTCATGTAAAAGAACTGGAATTGTTGAAACATTAACAATAAGAAAATAAAAGACAACAAGCTAAATAGTTCTACTACTCCTGATTTGATTATGCACAATCATTACTGAGCTATACATAGCGCTAAAATATTTCCTAGAAATAATAAATATTCATCAAACTAGATTGACCATTCTTACTTTCTGGACATTCAAGTTGAACAATAATTACTGTCTTGTGTTAAATCATGTAGGACATGACATGTTCAACATTCTATGACTAAATGCTCCTTCCCATCTAAAGAGTTCAAATAACTAATAATTTAATTTGAAAAACTAATATTTTCTCTCAAGTGAATCTAGCTGTTTAGAATGAGCTTTCAAGAAGATCTGAAAAAGAGCTGTTGTAGACTTTCACCTTGTTACTGCATGTGATAGTCACTCAAAAATCTCATAAGCCCTTTTTATAAGAATCACTGTTCATTCTGGAAAGATTTCGAACTAACCTTATCTATCAAATCCATCTCACAGCCAGCATTTAATAATAATTTAGCTATACTAGAATGATGTCTGTTACATGCCATATGTAAGGCTGTACTACCATGCTGAAAATTAATATTATATTATTCTTAATACATTGTTTCTTTATCAACCACCTTACATCATAAAGTCAACATTATCTTAAATGAATCTCAAAATAATGTCACCAAATTATATTTTGATTATGAAAAATTATTTATGTTGCAAAATCAGTAACTGAAAAAGCTCAGAAACAAAATCTTCAGTACTAATGCCTTCAGTAGAAATGCTAACTTTCAGTTATGATTTTCTCCTTTTGCAGTGTTCTGGAAATTGGAGCGAAATGTGGGAAAGCAGCAAGGGATAACAGGTTAAGGGATGTATGCTTATAAAGCCATAAGTTTAAAAGTAATGATTTGTACCTTATCAATATGATTTAAAGGAGCACCATATTGTAATAATATTTTAACACATTCTAAATTACCACGAACTGCTGCATTATGTAAAGCTGTTTCACCTTCCTGTACCGAAAATATATTCAAAATATTCAAAATGATTTCAGATAATGAGTTTTAGATAAAAGTTTAGTAAAGCTGATTAATAAAAAACTTTTGTTAATAAAAATCAAATTCGACCTTCGACTAATAAGCTTATTAATATTAATATTACAACAATTTTTGTAAGATGTAAAATTCCATTTCATTTACAAGAATTTTATGATAATGTCAAGCATGAGTTGTTAACATGCAATAATAACATATTTAGTAAATAAATCAATAAGGTAATTTAGAGTTCTTAACATGTACATACAGATGTGACTAATGCCAAATTTCCAAGTTTCCTAAACAAATAACATTTCTTACTTGTTTCTTGGTTTTTAGGCCATTGAAAATATTGGCAGTAGAAACACTTTAGGTGAAAGCAAACCAAAAGTAAATAAATAACATAAAATAATTTTAACTCGCTTTGGTAGCTCTGCTTTCATAGTAAAACAGTTGCCATGTAAAAGGATTAGAGGACTGATATGGAGTGATTGGTAATGTTTAAGAAGCAGTTTAAGTTAGATGATATAGTAGAAGACTCCTACCTTATTTTGAATATTTAAGTGAGCGCCTGCTGAACACAATGTTTGTACAATATGAACATAACCATGCCAACTAGCACTGTGGATTGGTGTTTCACCAAGCTATAGAATAAATTGGTTAATAAATACAAAATTTTCAAAGATGTCTTCAATTAATTTTTCATTTAACCCTTTCAACCCTAGAGAGGGGTTTACTGGTATATAGTGGCCGTTACCAAGTGACACAAATTTAACATCATACACTTCAAGTTATATTACTTATATTACTCAAGTGTCAAAAGGGTTAAGAATTTACTTTGACAAGAATTTACCAAAAAATGTTCTTATACAAATTTAAGAAATTTTGTCCTTTTTTCCCCCTAAATTTTCTGTTTTCTTTATGGCCTTTGAATACTAATAACTATTGTAAACATCTCTATAGTATACACTGGGAACACTTAAAGCCACACAATGCAGTTAATTAAAATTCTAAGTTCATGCATTAGTTTTAAGTAAAAGCATTTTCATGCCTGCTCTTATTATACCAAAAACTAACATTTTTGCATTAAATAAAACTTTGCTTTAAGTTTTCATATCATGATATAATCATGGCTTGCCAATATACTTGTAATTTATATCCAATTGTACTTTCATTATTAATACCTTTCTAAAAATTTAAAATATCATATGGTAAAAATTCGTCGAAAATCTAATAAGAGTCAAATAATACTTACACTATCTTGTACATTAATAGGAATACCTAAACTACATAGAAAATCAACAACATGACTGTGACCATATCTTGCTGATACATGTAGAGCTGTTTCATTAGACTACAATAATAATCAAATATACATGTAACATTACTACTCAAATTTTGTTGGAAAGTCGTTTTAGATTATGATCAACATTATCCCACACAGATATTTTCAATGTTATGATATCATCTGAGAATATCAATAGTGATCTACAAACTTAATCTGTTCTGTTCAGACTAACCAGACATCAAATTCCATTCTGATAAGTGATACTGACAAATGAAATCAGCTGGGAAAAAAATATTTACACAACTTTATCCCTTCAACTTAAACACGGAATTGAAATGACTCATCATATAGGTACTTTGTTTTCTCATGCCTA